ATAGTATATGTTAGTGTATTCATTATTTGTATTACAAAATAAAGTGTTAACGGATTACGTTTATATTATTTAGATAGTAAATATTAATGTGATTCAAAGTTTGACCATGTTTGACCTATTAACCGACCAACTTTGGTCGGTTATTTTCCAGAAAATTACATATATCGACCAAAGTTCGTCGGTAAAAAATTTCCCTGCAATAACCAACCGATTTTGGTCGGTAAACTTAACTATAAATTTTATAAAATATTTTAAATAATAATATAATTATTTAAATTTAAAAATAGGTCCACATTACCGACCAATGTTGGTCGGTAATCAAAAAGGTGCTTTGACTAAGCAAGTCTGACTACTGCGGTGAAATGTTTGACCAATTTACCGACCAATTTCGGTCGGTAAGCAATTTTAAAAAATTGTAAAATATTTTTTTTTTAGTTTCCGTCTGTGTTGGACGGTTTTTTGGTAGCTTTTGTCGAACAACCAACGTTGATCGGTATGGCTTGATTGGTTTTTCCCGGATTTCTAGTAGTGAATTCTCATTTTTTTCATCTCACCTTTCGATTTTTTTTTTCTTAAATTGAACAGAGAAGTATCTCTTTGTGTTTATGGGTCATTGCTATTTGCATAAACATTTCTACTTCTACTTTGTGAATTATACCTCTGCTTCTTGTTTGTGCAAGCTACAATGGTTGATGTTAATGTGAGTGCTCCTAGATTTTCCTAAGGACCTGACTTTTTAACTTGAATGATTTATGAACAAAATCACAAGTGTTGATAAATTAAGGGGATTCCATATATATATTTAAGGCTCGAACCCTAGACCTCTGATAAAAAAAATATTTACTATTGTACTACAATTCCATTCCCTAAGAAGGATATCGATCCCTAGAGAGATCTGTGTTCAAGAATACTTATGTTAGTAGACCTTTAATTTGTCTCTTAACACTCCCTAAGTCCCACTAGATTTCTCTATCACTGTTTTTAGTGCTTCTTGTATTGAGCTTATAGAATATTGCAGTTGATCATCATTAATACTGTCCGAGTCTTCTTGATCTCCATGCGTTACGAACAACACATTTTTAACACGTCCACCAAGTGTTGTTATTTCAGCCTTTAATGTTCTTAGCCTTAAAGATTTCAAAGTCTTGATAAGGTCAGGCAAAAGATCAGACCTATCTTCACAGCACAATGAAGCCTTGATCACAAAGTTTCCTTCTTCGTCAGACGAATAATTATCAACTGTTAGTTCGTCCATCTCAGTTGGGACTGGATTTGTATCAGTTATTTGTGATGTTTGTCTCTTGAGCTCCTTCACATGTTGTATTACCTCAGCTAGCAATGATGCTTTATCCGTCTGGAATAACAAAAAAAATAAAAGATGTCTCCAATGAAATCTATGAACATGGTACACACACATATATATATGTCAAAGAAATTATTAAATAAATATGTCATATGTTAAAACCACTTTATGTGACGTGATTCGGAATACCATTGTCAGGCTATCTAGTTTTCAATTTGAATTTGGGCATAGAATCTTCTGATTTTCGAAATAAATAGAAAGATAGTACTATAAGTCACAATAATTAATAATTCAATATATTTAAAAACGAATACGAAAAAAATTATTTGAGCCTCCAAATAGTAATTGCATCACGTTAAGTTGAATGAAGAGTAAAAATACATGTGATCTCCCTAATATTTTGAACTTTTAGTTGAGCTGGTTAAATAATTCTAACATTCATCATGCATGATTTTTATAAAATAAAAAAACCGAAAACATGAGATTTGTCATAAATGGTAGTTTTGGTAGAGTGATAATTGAAGATTAATTGGTAAATTGGTTTCTTGGAAGTCTAGTTTGAAGTTTTCAAGAACTTCTCCAACACTAATAAAATAACAGCATTCAAGTAAAAGACAGATTTTGGTTTAGTCAAACTAAATATAGAGAATTTTTTCAAAGAGCAGACAAACTACAGATAGTTACCCAAATTAACATGAATAACTAAACTAAACCAAAAGGTTTTACAATTTGGATAGAATCGATTGCTTGTGGACTTGTGGCCTAGAAATACAAATTTAATTGCTTAATATATTAATAAGTACAATTATTAGGTTAAATACCTATCCAGATTAGTATCTTGGAGGATCTAAAACTTTAAATTAAAAACAAAAAGAAAATTTATTTATAAATAAATGAGCAAACAATACTCCCTCCATTTCCATTTGGATGAGATAGTTTGACTCGGCACAGAGTTAAGAAGAAAAAAAAAATTAAAACTTGTGGTCAGAAAAGCTTAAGGGGTAAAAGCTTTGTGGGATCATGACATTTGTGTGGTTATAAAAGCTTCTCATCAAGGGTAAAATGAAGAGTTTAAAGTTGAATTATTTCCAATTGTAGAAAAGTGTCATTATTTTTTAAACGGACAAATAAAGTAAGTGTGTCATCTAAAATGAAATAGAGGGAGTATTAACTAAGCAAATAAGTGTTGCGGAAGATCGTGGGTTAACTAGCATACAATCACACACAAAGCAAATAGAGAAGAAAAATCAACACAAGGATTTAATGAGGTTCGGCTGAGCCTAATCCTCGGGGCAGAAGCAGAGAGAGTTTTTCACTATGAATGAGGAAAAAAAACACAATACAATCTATAGAATCCCCAATTACAACTCATATATATAGATCCCAAATAGTCTAACCCTATAAGAGAAAGGTTTCTCAGTTTGACAAGGACTATATGTTTTCCTTTCCCAAATCTATTAGGACAATGAGTTTTCCTAAACCTATAGGGATTATGAGTTTCCTAAAAATATAATAAAACAATTCAAGCCACAAAATAACAAATCTTCCCCTTGGCTTGAATTCTTTTCATTAACAGGAACAACGTCTCTCTAGCTTGCCCTCAGCCCTTGCGAGGGCTCTACCCATTGCCGCACACATCAATCAAATCTAGGCAACGCCTAAACTTGTTAAGAGACTCAATATCTTCAGCCATAGCACTAATCCGTCGATTTGGTTCTGTTCCCGAAATAGCTTTGGATAGCTATAACACTCAAACGCATCAACGGTTCCTACAACTGCCAAAGCAAATCCCACATGATTCGTATATCTAAGAAGATTCTCATCAACTACGTTTGCAAACCTTTGCGGTCGGTTGATCACTCTCTTCTCTCTGCCTGTTGCAATGCTATATGATTGTTGCGCAGGTGCATCAACATTATCATATCGATCAATGTTTTGCACCTCTTCCACTTCCTCTCCTTTAGAACTACTGGGCTGAGCTAGTGGAGATTCAATTTCTAGCTCTATGCGGTCACTGACACCATAATCTATTTCTACTATTGCCTTCTCCCTCTGACTATCTAGTGAGGCAGATTCATTGAATGTTACATCCCTAATGATAATTAGCCCCGGAGTCTTTTGATCTGTGCACCACAACCTATAACCTTTCACTCCAGTTGTATACCCTAGAACTATACACTTCTTTTCCCTCGGCTCAATTTTTCCATCCCTCACATGAGCATAAGCAGGACAACTAAATTTTTTTAAATTTGAATAATCAGCAGGCGAACCAGACCATATCTGCAAAGAAGTTTTGAACTCAATAGCTGTGGATAGAAATCTATTGACCAAATAACAAGATGTATTGATTGCTTCAGCCCAAAAATCCTTGCTAACACATGAGCGTGAAAGCATGCTTCGTGCCCTATCACAAAGCATTCTGTTCATACATTCTGCAATACCATTTTGTTGTGGTGTTCCAACACAAGTGCAGTGTCTCACTATGCCCTCTCTGTTGCAGAAATTATCGAACTCAGAATTGTAAAATTTCAACCCATTGTCAGTTCGAAGACGCTTAACTTTTCTTTCCGTCTACCTCTCAACTATCGTCTTCCATTTAACAAATGTTGGAAATGCCTCATCTTTTGTTTTCAGTAAATACACCCACACCATCCTTGAGTAATATCAATCAAAGTCATAAAATACCTGAAAACACTCTTAGATGGAACTCTGTTTGGACCCCACAAGTCTGAATGTATATAATCTAACTTGTCTCTTGTCTTGTGCTCGACCTTCTTGCTGAATATTACCCTTGTCTGTTTACCAAACACAATGCTCACAAAAATTCAAAACTTGATTTTTGTACCTATTCAGCAAATTCTACTTACTCAACAAAGACGATCCCTTATCACTCATATGACCAAGCCACAAGTGCCATAACTGAGACTGATTCAGATCACTTTTGTCAGAAGCTACAACACTTTCCCCTTCAACTATATTGTCCTGGAGATGATATAATTTAGAATGCAGTTTACCCTTCGTGAGTACCATAGAGCTTTTACATGTTTTAAGTATTCCATTCTCGGGGTAAAATTTATACCCTTCATCATCCAAAATTGAAAGAGAAATCAAACCTCTCTTTATCCGAGGAACATGCCAACACTCAATATTTCTGATAATTCCATCGAACATTCTCAATTTGATGTTACCTACCCCCTCTACTGGTAATGGATTATCATCTCCCATGTAGACGGTCCCACTCATTTTCTTGTAAGTTGCAAACTAATTCTTGTGTAGACACATGTGGAAAGTAACACCAGAATCAAGAACCCAAGAATTCTACCTATGACTAGAACTCACAGCACAAACTTCCCCTACATAGTCACTATCATCCGAATTATTGCCAGTGTCAACCATATTCGCCGAATTATCTATTTTCTGCTTCCCTCTTTTCTACTTCAGCTTAGGACAACCTCTCTTGTAGTGACCTTGCTCCCCGCACTCATCACAGTTTTGCTTCCTTGCTCTAGACTTTGATCTGGCTGTTGACTTTTTCTTATTAAAGTCCTTTTGTTGTGTTCTTCCTCTAATCACAAGACTTTCGCCCTCAATTCTGCTGTCTGAAAAGCTCTTTTTCAACTCTTTAAATTTTAGTGCATTACTAACATCTTCTAGTGAAATATTATCTTTCCCATATAGCAACGTATCGGTAAAAGTATCATAAGACGGTGGTAAAGAACATAACACAATCAAGGCTTGATCCTCACTCTCAATTTGATATCCACGTTCTTCAGATGCATTATAATTGAATTAAACTCATCAAGGTAAGTTTTAACAGGATTAACTTCGTTCATACAAAGATTATATAACCTTTTTTTCAAGTAGAAGCGGTTTGTTAGCGATTTCTTAGAATACAGATCTACCAACTTCTTCCATGTTGTTGCTTCAGAAGTTTCTTCAGCAATTTCCCGAAACGCTATCTGTAACGCTCATGAAAATCGTACTCAAAGCCTACTCCTTCAGGTGTGCCTTCTTTGTCTCTGTCAACTTAGGAAAATCCTCATCAATTATCTTCCATAACCCTTGTAACACCAGGGATGATTTCATCCTAATCTTCCATAGACTGAAAGTAGAACCTTCGTCAAATTTCTCTACTTGGTAACTTTGTTGAAGATGATGAACACATCTTAACCCTAGATTATATGTAGAAACCCGAACTTTGCTCTGATGCCAATTATTGCGGAAGATCGTGGGCTAACTAGCACACAATCACACACAAAGCAAATAGAGAAGAAAAAATCAACACAAAGATTTAACGAGGTTCGGCTAAGCCTAATTCTCGTGGCAGAAGCAGAGAAAGAGTTTTTCACTATGAATGGAAAAAAAAAGTACAATACAATCTATAGAATCCTCAATTACAACCCCTATATATAGATCCCAAATAGTCTCAAACCTATAAGAGAAAGGTTTCCCAATTTGACAAGGGCTATAGGTTTTTCTTTCCCGAATCTATTAGGACAACGAATTTTCCTAAACCTATAGGGATTAAGGGTTTTCTAAGAATATAAGGAAATAATTCAAGCCACAAAATAACAATAAGTTTGTAGGGATGAGAATGAAATAACATGCAACATTAATTTGGCTTAACTTACTTTTGTAGTGCTGGGAAGAAGGCTTCGGAGTTTAGCAAGATGATTATTAATTCTTTCTCTACGTCTCCTTTCAGCTTCACTGTGGCTTTTTGAGGCAGCAAGAGCTTTGACATCCATTATTTCTTGAGCACTCACTTTCTGCAGCTCATCTTGGAGACCAAAAGGAGATGATCTTCTGTTGAATAAACCTCCATAAGGTGATGGTACTGGTGGAAAAAGATTAAATGGATCGTGGTANATATATAGTATTTAATTTATTTTATACTAACAGTTACAGTACTATTAGCCAACATAGATGAGAAGAGCTTAATTAACAAAAGTTTCCGAATGATAACTACGTGCAATCATATCCAGAAACGATGAAACTAATAACATGAAAAATAAAATATGTTACCTGCTATAAGTGTAAAAAATCTTTGTATTGTTATATATATAAAAGTTAAATCATTGATCCTGTATATATACCTTTATGAGTTGAAGTGTATGTTTTCATCTACCGCTACAAAACAAGTTTGAAGTTGAAGAACTTTAGGCTTGTTCGACAATCCTCTCTCTTCTTTTTACACAAAGTCGAAAAGTAAGAATAATAAAGAGAAGGCCGGGGATCAAAAACTTGGATTCTACTTCCTTTGTGGTAAAAAGGGGAGTGTAAGAGTTCAAGGAAAGAGAAAAAGACAGACCTTTGCTTTGATGTGTGATATCTAAGGGTTTTGATAATTTGTTGGCCTTGTGTGCCTTCCACTTGTTCTTCTCTTTCTAATTTGGTTGTTGGTGAAATGTTGGATAGCAATGGAATGACCTTATTTATCCACTTATCCTGGCATCGACTAATTAAGCCCTTTTCTCTAACTTTTCAATATCTTTGTGCTTTAATTTGTTGGCACTCCCTCCGTTTCAATTTAGATGAGGTAGTTTGACTCGGCACGAAATTTAAGAAAAAGAAAAAGATTTTTAAAACTTGTGGTCTTAAAAGCTTAAGGGTTAAAAGTTTTGTGGGGTCATGACATTTGTGTGGTTATATAAGCTTCTCAATAAAGAGTTTAAAGCTGAATTATTTCCAAATTTAAAAATGTGTCATTTATTTTAGAACAGATTAAAAAAAGTAACTCATCTAATTTGAAACGAAATTAAATTATTTTCAAATTTAAAAATATGTCATTTATTTTGAAACATATTAAAAAAAAAAAAACTTATCTAATTTGAAATGAACATGATATGTTTTTTGTTCCTATGCTTTTTTCGTTTATGGGCCCTCTTTAGCATAGTCTGCTCTTTTTTATACCTGCACACCATTCCCCACCTTCATCTATATTCCTTATCGTAAATTGTGAGTAAAAGTACTAATAGTGGATTAGAAAAAAATAATACTGGTAGTTTCTTACTTTCCTCTTTACGACTTTGTTTTCAACTATCCATATACAGTATGTAGTTATTAGAGGCATGTTACACTACCAGTATGTAGTTATGAAACACATGAAATAGCAATTTAGTTTTGTTGCTCTAATTATTTACTAATAATTTGTCAGAAACTACTACGTAATATTTGAAATCAAACATATAATTACATTTAGTGAGTGTTGCTGGGGCAAAAAGAGAGAGAAAGGGAGGAGGAAGCACAAAAACAAGGAAATGATTTCCTATATCCATTTATATTTGGAAAAAAGTAACTCTACAATATATTTATTTACAGATTTTTGGAGTTATTTTTTGCTAATCTTCTATTAAAAAAAATCAAAACTTAATACAAACATAACAAATTGTCGACCGACCAAAGACGATTAATAATAAAAAGCAGAATAATCGATTTAGATTGACAGAAAATGCGGTCTTCTTTTTCTTCTCGTGTCTATTGATCCACCACACTAATTGATAAAGTGGGAGTAATTTTTCTGTTGTTGGCTTTTGGCTTTGGTTAATTTCGCCTCGATCACGTTCTACCATATTATTACTCTCTTTCTCCATTGGCTAGCTTTTTTCCACGCCAAATAACCTTTATACTTGCTCCAAGATCTATTGTAATCATTGTGTCTTAGAACACCACTCCTTCTCCACTACAAAATCCCAGTCCCTAGTGGGAGTGGGGAGGGACACTGTTAATCCCTACATTAAGGTTGTCTTTACAATGTAAATATATATTTTTTGATTTCACATCGTACTTGTAATGAGATCCGACTAAATTTGAATATCGTTTTGCTGAAAAAATCTATATTGGAGATAAAACGTTCTCTAACATAGACGGTTCCATACCTATGACTCAAATCCGAAATTTTTGGTTAACAATAAAGGAATACTTATCGTTTCACCAAATATATTATATAATTTTCAGTTACACGCATTCATGACATTTGTTCTGTTATCCTTTGAAATTAAACTCTCTTATTTCGATGATCGTATAACCCTTGTTTATGCTAAAACTTATTCTATTGATGTGTAATCAAGATCGTAATACAAATGATCAGTTAAATTTATTGTTTATATTTTTTAATTTGTATGCACAGGTGGGTAGCTATAATTCTTCTATTACTATTTATGCTGAAAATTATACAAGGATTATTTTGCTTTATACATATCAAACAAAACGGCCCCTGGTATAGAACTCAAGCGCAATTGTAAGAGTCATGTCAATAGCTTTATGCTTAAAGCACCAGAAGAACTTATTTCTTAGGGGGAATAAACGTCACGATAGCATGTGACTGAGGTCATCATAAACCCCACAAACAAAGGGATCTTCATATATATTGGATTTATGCTAGCTAGTGGGTTGCTGCTAGATTTGATTATGTTTTTGAATTTTAGAGCACTATATAGTTAAAACAAAATAAATAAAAAGAGAAAGGATCCTAAAAAGGTTAAAGCAATGTTAGGACAAATAGCCATGCGTGAGAGCACACCATATGACTCCAATCCAATATATAACTGGTGATTGTATTTTTGTATTGCTGGAACTACAGTATTATATATATCAAAAAGAAAAATGGCAATTGAGTGTACTAATTAGCTCTTGCTATGCATGAGGTTTAGCAAAGAGGTAGATCATGACTAAGTTTATTGTAGACAAACTTATCTTGTATTTCTGTAATTTCTATGACTTAAATGTACAATAGCATAATTCTTATATATATATATATATATATATATATATATATATATATATATATATATATATAAAAA